TGCAAATGCCAGGGAGAACGGAAGCGCTCAGATCTCGCATAGTACACGGAATCAAGTGGTCTCACTCAAATAGAAAGTAGGAAATATATTCATCTAGTGAACGTAAGGGTTTGAAAGGTAACTAACGCACATGTGTAGAGAAAATTATGCATCGGCCAGTCTGGCCGGCATTTCGCACTTATAGTGCAACTAGGGCCAAGGAGAACGGAAACGCTCATTTCTCAAAAAGTAGAGGCAATCTAGAGGTCTCACTCGATCAGAAGGTGGGAAATATATAAATCTAGTGAGCTAATAATGTTCGAAAGGAATCTAATGCATATGTATATGGAAAATGGTGCATTGGCCAGGTCGGTCAGTATGGGAACTTAGAGTGCAAATGCCAGGGAGAACGGAAGCGCTCAGATCTCGCATAGTACATGGAATCTAGTGGTCTCACTCAAATAGAAAGTAGGAAATATATTCATCTAGTGAACGTAAGGGTTTGAAAGGTAACTAACGCACATGTTTAGAGAAAATGGTGCATCGGCCAGTCTGGCCGGCATTTCGCACTTATAGTGCAACTAGGGCCAAGGAGAACGGAAACGCTTATTTCTCAAAAAGTAAAGGGAATCTAGCGGTCTCACTCGATCAGAAGGCGGGAAATATATAAATCTAGTGATCTAATAAGGTTTGAAAGGAATCTAATGCATATGTATATGGAAAATGGTGCATTGGCCAGGTCGGTCAGTATGGGAACTTAGAGTGCAAATGCCAGGGAGAACGGAAGGGCTCAGATCTCGCATAGTACACGGAATCTAGTGGTCTCACTCAAATAGAAGGTAGGAAATAAATTCATCTAGTGAACGTAAGGGTTTGAAAGGTAACTAACGCACATGTGTAGAGAAAATGGTGCATCGGCCAGTCTGGCCGGCATTTCGCACTCATAGTGCAGGTGGGGCCTGGGAGAACGGAACCGCTCAGATCTCGCATAATACACGGAATCTAGTGGTCTCACTCAAATATAAGGTAGGAAATATATTCATCTAGTGAACGTAAGAGTTTGAAAGGTAACTAACGCACATGTGTAGAGAAAATGTGCATCGGCCAGTCTGGCCGGCATTTCGCACTCATAGTGCAGGTGGGGCCAGGGAGAACGGAAACGCTCGTTTCTCAAAAAGTAGAGGGAATCTAACGGTCTCACTCGATCAGAAGGTGGGAAATATATATATCTAGTCAGCTAAAAAGGTTTGAAATGTATTCAACGCACATGTATAGATAAAATGGTGCATTGGCCAGGTCGGTCAATATCGGAACTTAAAATGCAAATGCCAGGGAGAACGGAAGCGCTCAGATCTCGCATAGTACACGGAATCAAGTGGTCTCACTCAAATAGAAAGTAGGAAATATATTCATCTAGTGAACGTAAGGGTTTGAAAGGTAACTAACGCACATGTGTAGAGAAAATTGTGCATCGGCCAGTCTGGCCGGCATTTCGCACTTATAGTGCAACTAGGGCCAAGGAGAACGGAAACGCTCATTTCTCAAAAAGTAGAGGGAATCTAGCGGTCTCACTTGATCAGAAGGTGGGAAATATATAAATCTAGTGAGCTAATAAGGTTTGAAAGGAATCTAATGCATATGTATATGAAAAATGGTGCATTGGCCAGGTCTGTCAGTATGAGAACTTAGAGTGCAAATGCCAGGGAGAACGGAAGCGCTCAGATCTCGCATAGTACACGGAATCTAGTGGTCTCACTCAAATAGAAGGTAGGAAATAAATTCATCTAGTGAACGTAAGGGTTTGAAAGGTAACTAACGCACATGTGTAGAGAAAATGGTGCATCGGCCAGTCTGGCCGGCATTTCGCACTCATAGTGCAGGTGGGGCCTGGGAGAACGGAAACGCTCGTTTCTCAAAAAGTAGAGGGAATCTAACGGTCTCACTCAATCAGAAGGTGGGAAATATATAAATCTAGTCAGCTAAAAAGGTTTGAAATGTATTCAACGCACATGTATAGAGAAAATGGTGCATTGGCCAGGTCGGTCAGTATCGGAACTTAAAATGCAAATGCCAGGGAGAACGGAAGCGCTCAGATCTCGCATAGTACACGGAATCAAGTGGTCTCACTCAAATAGAAAGTAGGAAATATATTCATCTAGTGAACGTAAGGGTTTGAAAGGTAACTAACGCACATGTGTAGAGAAAATGGTGCATCGGCCAGTCTGGCCGGCATTTCGCACTTATAGTGCAAGTAGGGCCAAGGAGAACGGAAACGCTCATTTCTCAAAAAGTAAAGGGAATCTAGCGGTCTCACTCGTTCAGACGGTGGGAAATATATAAATCTAGTGAGCTAATAAGGTTCGGAAGGAATCTAATGCATATGTATATGGAAAGTGGTGCATTGGCCAGGTCGGTCAGTATGGGAACTTAGAGTGCAAATGCCTGGGAGAACGGAACCGCTCAGATCTCGCATAATACACGGAATCTAGTGGTCTCACTCAAATATAAGGTAGGAAATATATTCATCTAGTGAACGTAACTCTTTGAAAGGTAACTAACGCACATGTGTAGAGAAAATGGTGCATCGGCCAGTCTGGCCGGCATTTCGCACTCATAGTGCAGGTGGGGCCAGGGAGAACGGAAACGTTCGTTTCTCAAAAAGTAGAGGGAATCTAACGGTCTCACTCGATCAGAAGGTGGGAAATATATAAATCTAGTCAGCTAAAAAGGTTTGAAATGTATTCAACGCACATGTATAGAGAAAATGGTGCATTGGCCAGGTCGGTCAGTATCGGAACTTAAAATGCAAATGCCAGGGAGAACAGAAGCGCTCAGATCTCGCATAGTACACGGAATCAAGTGGTCTCACTCAAATAGAAAGTAGGAAATATATTCATCTAGTGAACGTAAGGGTTTGAAAGGTAACTAACGCACATGTGTAGAGAAAAATGTGCATCGGCCAGTCTGGCCGGCATTTCGCACTTATAGTGCAAGTAGGGCCAAGGAGAACGGAAACGCTCATCTCTCAAAAAATAAAGGGAATCTAGCGGAATCACTCGATCAGAAGGTGGGAAATATATAAATCTAGTGAGCTAATAAGGTTTTAAAGGAATCTAATGCATATGTATATGGAAAATGGTGCATTGGCCAGGTCGGTCAGTATGGGAACTTAAAGTGCAAATGCCAGGGAGAACGGAAGCGCTCACATCTCGCATAGTACGCGGAATCTAGTGGTCTCACTCAAATAGAAGGTAGGAAATAAATTCATCTAGTGAACGTAAGGGTTTGAAAGGTAACTAACGCACATGTGTAGAGAAAATGGTGCATCGGCCAGTCTGGCCGGCATTTCGCACTTATAGTGCAAGTAGGGCCAAGGAGAACGGAAACGCTCATTTCTCAAAAAGTAAAGGGAATCTAGCGGTCTCACTCGATCAGAAGGTGGGAAATATATAAATCTAGTGAGCTAATAAGGTTCTGAAGGAATCTAATGCATATGTTTATGGAAAATGGTGCATTGGCCATGTCGGTCAGTATGGGAACTTAGAGTGCAAATGCCAGGGAGAACGGAACCGCTCAGATCTCGCATAATACACGGAATCTAGTGGTCTCACTCAAATATAAGGTAGGAAATATATTCATCTAGTGAACGTAAGGGTTTGAAAGGTAACTAACACACATGTGTAGAGAAAATGGTGCATCGGCCAGTCTGGCCGGCATTTCGCACTCATAGTGCAGGTGGGGCCAGGGAGAACGGAAACGCTCGTTTCTCAAAAAGTAGAGGGAATCTAACGGTCTCACTCGATCAGAAGGTGGGAAATATATAAATCTAGTCAGCTAAAAAGGTTTGAAATATATTCAACGCAAATGTATAGAGAAAATGGTGCATTGGCCAGGTCGGTCAGTATCGGAACTTAAAATGCAAATGCCAGAGAGAACGGAAGCGCTCAGATCTCGCATAGTACACGGAATCTAGTGGTCTCACTCAAAAAGAAAGTAGGAAATTTATTCATCTAGTGAACATAAGGGTTTGAAAGGTAACTAACGCACATGTGTAGAGAAAATGGTGCATCGGCCAGTATGGCCGGCATTTCGCACTTATAGTGCAAGTAGGGCCAAGGAGAACGGAAACGCTAATTTCTCAAAAAATAAAGGGAATCTAGCGGTCTCACTCGATCAGAAGGTCAGTCAGTAGATTCCTTTCGAACCTTATTAGCTCACTAGATTTATTTCCCACCTTCTGATCGAGTGAGACCGCTAGATTCCCTCTACTTTTTGAGAAATGAGCGTTTCCGTTCTCCTTGGCCCTAGTTACACTATAAGTGCGAAATGCCGGCCAGACTGGCCGATGCACAATTTTCTCTACACATGTGCGTTAGTTACCTTTCAAACCTTTATATTCACTAGATGAATATATTTCCTACTTTCTATTTGAGTGAGACCACTTGATTCCGTGTACTATGCGAGATCTGAGCGCTTCCGTTCTCCTTGGCATTTGCATTTTCTCAAGTTCCGATACTGACCGACCTGGCCAATGCACTATTTTCTCTGTACATGTACGTTGAATACATTTCAAACCTTTTGAGCTGACTAGATTTATATATTTCCCACCTTCTGATCGAGTGAGACCGCTAGATTCTCTCTACTTCGTGAGAAATGAGCGTTTCCGTTCTCCCTAGCCCCACCTCCACTATGAGTGCGAAATGCCGGCCAGACTGGCCGATGCACCATTTTCTCTACACATGTGCGTTAGTTACCTTTCAAACCCTTACGTTCACTAGATGAATTTATTTCCTACCTTCTATTTGAGTGAGACCACTAGATTCCGTGTAATATGCGAGATCTGAGCGCTTCCGTTCTCCCTGGCATTTGCACTCTAAGTTCCCATACTGACCGTCCTGGCCAAGCACCATTTTCCATATACATATGTCAAAATTATATTTATTATAACTGCATGAAGTTCTAGCTGTAGTATAGTTATTAAATTTGTAGGTGGTGCACCCCTTCATGTGTTCCTTTGCTATATGTATCTCGAATCCTATAGTGAAACCCCATTTCTCCAATTTTCTTCTCCAACTCACTCGACTCTCACCCTAGGTGAAAACCCGCTCGATACCTAGTTAAGGGCCTAGGCTACTAAGCCTAGGCCCCTCACCTTTCAACTTAATCTACTTTAAGATTCTGACATGGTATCAGAGCTGTTTTCGTCCTGGCCTGTGGGCCCGCGTTACTCTTCCGCTGCTGAGATTTTCCGATCGCGCGCCTAGGGCGCGTGACGATTTTAGTTTTACTTTGTCCCGCCCACAGGCGTGTGACTCCTACCCTGCCCGTCGCGCACCCCGTGGCACGCGACGGTGCCCTTTATCTGCCCATCGTGCGCCCCGTGGCACACGATGGTGCCCTGCTCGTCGTGTGCCCCGAGGCACACGATCGGGCCCTTTTATCCTATCCGTCGTGCGCCCCGTGGCACTGGCCCGCGACGGGCCTCTCCGCCCCTGCACTCCCTGCTGCCGCCCGCGACCCATCTGCACCGACGCCTCTTCGCCGCTCTGCGGCTTTCTTCCTTCCCACCCCCCCCTTTCTCTTGTCTCCCTGCAGCCGTGGGGAGGAGGGTATGGGGGTGGAGGGTGTTGGAGCGGTGGGTCAACTCTCTCCCTTCCCCTCCTCCTTCTTTCAGTCCCACCACTGCAGCTGCTGCTGGGGGGGGAGGGTGTGAGGATGTGGGTGAGCAGGGGGAGTGGTACCGGGGTGGCGGGTGTGAGGCAACAAGCAGCCGTCTCTCCACCTCTCCTCTCTTCCCCCTTTCTCTGCTGCTTCTGCAGCAGTGTGGGGGAGGGGAAGGAGGAGGGTGAGGAGATGGAGGGGGTAACCTTTCAAAGTTAGCCCGCCTGCAGTACCTGCTGTTGCTTGTTTTATTGCTCGTTGGTGTACCTCTGCAGGTTGTGCTCGACACTTAGCTATTCCTGCATGCAGTTACGGGGGGATGTCAAAATTATATTTATTATAACTGCATGAAGTTCTAGCTTTAGTGTAGTTATTAAATTTGTAGGTGGTGCACCCCTTCATGTGTTCCTTCGCTATATGTATCTCGAATCCTATAGTGAAACCCCATTTCTCCAATTTTCTTCTCCAACTCACTCGACTCTCACCCTAGGTGAAAACCCGCTCGATACCTAGTTAAGGGCCTAGGCTACTAAGCCTAGGCCCCTCACCTTTCAACTTAATCTACTTTAAGATTCTGACAACATATGCATTAGATTCCTTTCGAACCTTATTAGCTCACTAGATTTATATATTTCCCACCTTCTGATCGAGTGAGACCTCTAGATTGCCTCTACTTTTTGAGAAATGAGTGTTTCCGTTCTCCTTGGCCCTAGTTGCACTATAAGTGCGAAATGCCGGCCAGACTGGCCGATGCACAATTTTCTCTACACATGTGCGTTAGTTACCTTTCAAACCCGTACGTTCACTAGATGAATATATATCCTTCTTTCTATTTGAGTGAGACCACTTGATTCCGTGTACTATGCGAGATCTGAGCGCTTCCGTTCTCCCTGGCATTTGCATTTTAAGTTCCGATACTGACCGGCCTGGCCAATGCACCATTTTCTCTATACATGTGCGTTGAATATATTTCAAACCTTTTTAGCTGACTAGATTTATATATTTCCCACCTTCTGATCGAGTGAGACCGTTAGATTCCCTCTACTTTTTGAGAAACGAGCGTTTCCGTTCTCCCTGGCCTCACCTGCACTATGAGTGCGAAATGCCGGCCAGACTGGCCGATGCACCATTTTCTCTACACATGTGTGTTAGTTACCTTTCAAACCCTTACGTTCACTAGATGAATGTATTTACTACCTTATATTTGAGTGAGACCACTAGATTCCGTGTATTATGCGAGATCTGAGCGGTTCCGTTCTCCCTGGCATTTGCACTCTAAGTTCCCATACTGACCGACCTGGCCAATGCACCACTTTCCATATACATATGCATTATATTCATTCCGAACCTTATTATCTCACTAGATTTATATATTTCCCACCTTCTGATCGAGTGAGACCGCTAGATTCCCTTTACTTTTTGAGAAATGAGCGTTTCCGTTCTCCTTGGCCCTACTTGCACTATAAGTGCGAAATGCCGGCCAGACTGGCCGATGCACCATTTTCTCTACACATGTGCGTTAGTTACCGTTCAAACTGTTACGTTGACTAGATGAATTTACTTCCTACCTTCTATTTGAGTGAGACCACTAGATTCCGTGTACTGTGCGAGATCTGAGCGCTTCCGTTCTCCCTGGCATTTGCACTCAAAGTTCCCATACTGACCGACCTTGCCAATGCACCATTTTCCATATACATATGCATTAGATTCATTTCGAACCTTATTAGCTCACTAGATTTATATATTTCCCACCTTCTGATCGAGTGAGACCGCTAGATTCCCTTTACTTTTTTAGAAATGAGCGTTTCCGTTCTCCTTGGCCCTACTTGCACTATAAGTGCGAAATGCCGGCCAGACTGGCCGATGCACCATTTTCTCTACACATGTGCGTTAGTTACCTTTCAAACCCTTACGTTCACTAGATAAATTTATTTCCTACCTTCTATTTGAGTGAGACCACTAGATTCCGCGTACTATGCGAGATCTGAGCGCTTCCGTTCTCCCTGGCATTTGCACTTTAAGTTCCCATACTGACCGACCTGGCCAATGCACCATTTTCCATATACATATGCATTAGATTCCTTTAAAACCTTTTTAGCTCACTAGATTTATATATTTCCCACCTTCTGATCGAGTGAGACCGCTAGATTCCCTTTTTTTTTTTAGAGATGAGCGTTTCCGTTCTCCTTGGCCCTAGTTGCACTATAAGTGCGAAATGCCGGCCAGACTGGCCGATGCACAATTTTCTCTACACATGTGCGTTAGTTACCTTTCAAACCCTTACGTTCACTAGATGAATATATTTCCTACTTTATATTTGAGTGAGACCACTTGATTCCGTGTACTATGCGAGATCTGAGCGCTTCCGTTCTCCCTGGCATTTGCATTTTAAGTTCCGATACTGACCGACCTGGCCAATGCACCATTTTCTCTATACATGTGCGTTGAATACATTTCAACCCTTTTTAGCTGACTAGATTTATATATTTCCCACCTTCTGATCGAGTGAGACCGTTAGATTCCCTCTACTTTTTGAGAATCGAGCGTTTCCGTTCTCCCTGGCCCCACCTGCACTATGAGTGCGAAATGCCGGCCAGACTGGCCGATGCACCATTTTCTCTACACATGTGCGTTAGTTACCTTTCAAACAATTACGTTCACTAGATGAATATATTTCCTACCTTATATTTGAGTGAGACCACTAGGTTCCGTGTATTATGCGAGATCTGAGCGGTTCCGTTCTCCCAGGCATTTGCACTCTAAGTTCCCATACTGACCGACCTGGCCAATGCACCATTTTCCATATACATATGCATTAGATTCCTTCCGAACCTTATTAGCTCACTAGATTTATATATTTCCCACCGTCTGAACGAGTGAGACCGCTAGATTCCCTTTACTTTTTGAGAAATGAGCGTTTCCGTTCTCCTTGGCCCTACTTGCACTATAAGTGCGAAATGCCGGCCAGACTGGCCGATGCACCATTTTCTCTACACATGTGCGTTAGTTACCTTTCAAACCCTTACGTTCACTAGATGAATTTATTTCCTACCTTCTATTTGAGTGAGACCACTAGATTCCGTGTACTATGCAAGATCTGAGCGCTTCCATTCTCCCTGGCATTTGCACTCTAAGTTCCCATACTGACCGACCTGGCCAATGCACCATTTTCCATATACATATGCATTAGATTCCTTTCGAACCTTATTAGCTCACTAGAGTTATATATTTCCCACCTTCTGATCGAGTGAGACCACTAGATTCCCTCTATTTTTTGAGAAATGAGCGTTTCCGTTCTCCTTGGCCCTAGTTGCACTATAAGTGCGAAATGCCGGCCAGACTGGCCGATGCACAATTTTCTCTACACATGTGCGTTAGTTACCTTTCAAACCCTTACGTTCACTAGATGAATATATTTCCTACTTTCTTTTTGAGTGAGACCACTTCATTCCGTGTACTATGCGAGATCTGAGCGCTTCCGTTCTCCCTGGCATTTGCATTTTAAGTTCCGATACTGACCGACCTGGCCAATGCACCATTTTCTCTATACATGTGCGTTGAATACATTTCAAACCTTTTTAGCTGACTAGATTTATATATTTCCCACCTTCTGATTGAGTGAGACCGTTAGATTCCCTCTACTTTTTGAGAAACGAGCGTTTCCGTTCTCCCAGGCCCCACCTGCACTACGAGTGCGAAATGCCGGCCAGACTGGCCGATGCACCATTTTCTCTACACATGTGCGTTAGTTACCTTTCAAACCCTTACGTTTACTAGATGAATTTATTTCCTACCTTCTATTTGAGTGAGACCACTAGAATCCGTGTACTGTGCGAGATCTGAGCGCTTCCGTTCTCCCTGGCATTTGCACTCTAAGTTCCCATACTGACCGACATGGCCAATGCACCATTTTCCATATACATATGCATTAGATTCCTTTCGAACCTTATTAGCTCACTAGATTTATATATTTCCCACCTTCTGATCGAGTTAGACCATTAGATTCCCTCTACTTTTTGAGAAATGAGCGTTTCCGTTCTCCTTGGCCCTACTTGCACTATAAGTGCGAAATGCCGGCCAGACTGGCCGATGCACCATTTTCTCTACACATGTGCGTTAGTTACCTTTCAAAACCTTACGTTCACTAGATGAATTTATTTGCTACCTTCTATTTGAGTGAGACCACTAGATTCCGTGTACTATGCGAGATCTGAGCGCTTCCGTTCTCCCTGGCATTTGCACTCTAAGTTCCCATACTGAGAGACCTGGCCAATGCACCATTTTTCATATACATATGCATTAGATTCCTTTCAAACCTTATTAGCTCACTAGATTTATATATTTCCCACCTTCTGATCAAGTGAGACCGCTAGATTCCCTCTACTTTTTGAGAAATGAGCGTTTCCGTTCTCCTTGGCCCTAGTTGCACTATAAGTGCGAAATGCCGGCCAGACTGGCCGATGCACAATTTTCTCTACACATGTGCGTTAGTTACCTTTCAAACCCTTACGTTCACTAGATGAATATATTTCCTACTTTCTATTTGAGTGAGACCACTTGATTCCGTGTACTATGCGAGATCTGAGCGCTTCCGTTCTCCCTGGCATTTGCATTTTAAGTTCCGATACTGACCGACCTGGCCAATGCACCATTTTCTCTATACATGTGCGTTGAATACATTTCAAACCTTTTTAGCTGACTAGATTTATATATTTCCCACCTTCTGATTGAGTGAGACCGTTAGATTCCCTCTACTTTTTGAGAAACGATCGTTTCCGTTCTCCCTGGCCCCACCTGCACTATGAGTGCGAAATGCTGGCCAGACTGGCCGATGCACCATTTTCTCTACACATGTGCGTTAGTTACCTTTCAAACCCTTACGTTCACTAGATGAATTTATTTCCTACCTTCTTTTTGAGTGAGACCACTAGATTCCGTGTACTGTGCGAGATCTGAGCGCTTCCGTTCTCCCTGGCATTTGCACTCTAAGTTCCCATACTGACCGACCTGGCCAATGCACCATTTTCCATATACATATGCATTAGATTCCTTTCAAACCTTATTAGCTCACTAGATTTATATATTTCCCACCTTCTGATCGAGTGAGACCGCTAGATTCCCTCTACTTTTTGAGAAATGAGCGTTTCCGTTCTCCTTGGCCCTAGTTGCACTATAAGTGCGAAATGCCGGCCAGACTGGCCGATGCACAATTTTCTCTA